TCTTCCATCTAATTTTGAAAACTTTTAAAAATGGGTCATTGCAGTCTTTTCCCATATCAGCTCGTATACTGGAATAAATGTTTCCAAATTTACATCTGTCCTTATACCTACCTTAAAATTAATTTATATTTCTAATAGATAGCAAGAACAGAAAAGGTTAGAAGCTTATCAGTAAATCATAGTGATTACATTTTTCTCCTGTTTAAAAAGCAGAATTGGTTTAATTATAGTTGATTCAATTCAAGAGTTAGATGTCTGGAATCATTATGCTCAATAGAATATTAAAACTAAAACAAACTCAATGTTTACTCTTTAAATTTTTCCAAATTATTTCAGTATTTTTATGTGTTAATTCCATGAACTTTCCTCATATAATTTTGAGGTAGAATTATTGGACACATTGGCTTTTGTATATATACATATACATACAGAACTCGCATGATTATTTCAAACTTGAATTGTAGAGAAAAGATTCATTCAAAATGACTGACGGTATTTTCTGTAAAACCTAAGTCAGTCCCATAATTCATATTCATTGAAGACCAAACTTTGTACCTAAATCTGTATATTTTAGTTGATAATTGTACATTTTTTAAAGGGAAAATGGAGGTTTAAGAGGGTTGTGGGGTCCTAAAGTGGTAGTTTTTTATTCTGTTTTGTTTTGTTTTAACGTAGTAAGGTTGTGAAAGAATCTTTTTATTGTTCGTTTTCAAGCTGTAGAGTTTTTATGTAATTGAACTTCAGGAAATGAGTAAAAGATGATGAGACAAAACTGTTATATAGATTAAAGTTTCTCCTGCTTTGTTGTTGTTGTTGTTAGGTGCCTTTGAGTTGGTTTTAACTCATAGTGACCTGTATAGGGTTTCTGATGAGCAGATGGTGAGCTTGAACTGCCAACCTTGTGGTTCAAACTGACCTTGCAGTCTAGTGCATTAACCCACAGTATCACACCAGGACTCTTATTATTGTAAAATAGACATAGATTGTGATAGAAATTAATATTAGAAATTATGATTACACAGAACTAGTAAGCCTGCCTTCAGCTTATTCTTGATTAGATTTTCTAAAAGGGGAGTTAGAACTGACCCAGAAAAAAAATAGGCCTTTTGCTTCAAATCTTTGTAAAATATGGGCCCTTAGGTGGAATCTTTAGCCCCACCCTGAACCTTCAGAGTTGGGACATTTGCATTAGAATAGACATGCAGACCAACCTACAACTTCTAGGAGAATAGGAGATTAATGAATGGAAGATGAAAGCAGAAAAAATGTTTTGAGTTTTGAGTTTGGAGACATCAAGGCAAGTTAAGTTTTCATTAGAGAAAACTTCTTTCTAGGACTGAAAGTTAAACATGAACTGTAAGCTTGCTGGTGACTACCTGGGTCTACATGAGTGGAATTGGGGAAATGCAGTAATGAAGACACAGACTCAGTCCAGACAATTTCAAGGTCACCCATTGACCTTGAAATGAAATAAGAGAAGAGGGAAGGCAGACTGATCTGAAGTTTAGGGAGTTGTGTGAACTCTTAAGTCCCTGGGGGCTAGGGCTGAGAGTGAAGGGGCCAGCTGGTATGAAGTGTGGGGTGCTTTGTGTGAACGCCCAAACTTGCAGTTGGTACTCATTTGACCTAGCTTGGATGGCTGGGACTGAGCTGACCAGAATGTGACCAAGTAAAGATACAGATGTTTGATACTGTGAGAAAGTGTCAATTGCTACAATGTGATAAACTGGACTTTTGCTTATGGATGCAGTTGCTCAAAATTCCAGTCAGAATAGAAGATTCTTCATATTAAAGAACATGCTTGTTTCCTCAGTGTACTGGATTGATGTTGTTGTTAAGTGCCATCGAGTTGGTTCCAAGCCATAGTGACCCTGTATAGGGTTTCCGAGGAGCAGCTGGTGAGCTTGAACCACCAACCTTGCAGTTCAAACAGCTTTGCAGTCTGGCACATTAATCCACATAGCACCACACCACTACTCTGCTGGATTGATAGGGATGGACAATTTAGACATTGGCTGCCAAAAGTGAAGGGGTATAAAGGCATGAAGTGGCTGGCTTACAAGCTTTCATGGGTATGCTTAGTTTTAAAAAGAGGGACAAAGGAGAAGCCCCACTGACTGTTTTTCCTCTTTTCCAGATGAGTCTGGTGAAAGGGGTTGAAGGATGAGGCTAATTGGATTTTATTATTTAATTTTGAGTAATTGCTAATAGGATTAACTGTGATTGTCAAAACTGCAATTGTAGAAGATATGTAATTAAAAGGGGGCGTGGGTAGTAGTTATCTTTCATTTCATGAACAGATGACTCCAGGGCCATTAAGAAGAAAGAACATGAGTGAAGCTTGGGATCCCTGCCTGGAAAAGCAGCAATAGCAAAGAGAGTGACAGAGGAGGTGGTACGGAAAGACAGAGCAGCTATGGACTCCAGGCCCATGGACTGAGTAAGGCTGTGTGCCTACAGGCAGGAGGCTGGCTTGCAGAATGTGCCTTTTGGACTTTTGAATCACTATATATACTTTTTGTTTTGTTTTTCATGTGTACATCAAATACTTTTGTTTTGTTGATTTGTGACATTTAAGATGAAAATGGGGCCTGTGCATACTTGGTTGTATGTGTTTTAGTTATATCATATTAGGCACAAGTATGACTTTACTATTTTCTTTATTTAAAGATCATGCCTGTACTTCGTTTGTTTCAAGTTGACAAGGATGGTCTGCAATGGTTAGGTTTTTGTGTCAGCTCAACTAGTCCAGGATTTCCAGAGCTTTAGCAGTTGGGATGTGCTTATCCTATGGTGATGAAACCTTTTATAGACATAGTTAGCTCTATGGTAAATGGCTGTGAGTAGCCAGTCAGTAAAAGGGATGCTTGGGGGTGTAGTCTACTCCCAATATAATGTATACATGGGAAAGACTCTCTCTTTCTCTTTTAATGGGGATCTGGGACTCTGCAATTGTAAGCCATTTCCTTGATAATATACTTCTTTCTATGTATCTACTAGCTGCTCCTTGGAAACCCTATAGAAGGTTGCTATGGTTCGGAACCAACTTGACAGAACCTAACAACAACAATATATCTGCATATATATGTTTCACTGGTTTTGCTTCTCTAGAAAACTCAGCCTAAGACACAATTATTAATGAATGGCGTTATTGGGATTGACTACTAGAAGTGTTGGCTGCTAATTCAAAGAATTATTATTATATCACAATATTCAGATTCATTAAGTTTCTAATCATCTCCTATACAAGAGCTATTCAAGGATTTCTAATTGATTTTATGACCTTGTACTGAAATTCCATCTTCACACTCTTTCTGTTTATTCATATAAGCCTAGTTATTTTACCCTGATATTTGTTTTTCCTTCATAGTCTTCCTTTGGTACTTTAAAAAGAGATGACTTATTTAAGAAGTTAATTAACTAATGCAAAATTTACTTCCATTATCTTCATATTTAATTAAGCCTTTCTTATTTATGTCATCTCCTTAGCAAGGGATACAAGTATTCCTGAATGTCAGCCTCTTATCTATTTTTCTCAGCTTTTAAACATAATAAAGTGCTTGGATTCTTTATTCAGTATTTCAGATCCCCTTTCTTTCATGTCACAAAAGATAAATTCACATGGCTGCACTGACAACATCACAGCTTTGAAAATGCATCCACCTTATAAATAGTTCAGTCACTTAGTTTAATCCATCTTTCTCTGCCCATCACTCTAATGTCAAACTCACAAGTTTAAGAATGCACTTTTCTCAACTTCTACTTTTAAAGCAAAAGTCCGAAAGTCTGTTCACTTAACTAACACTCACTGACAGAAGTATCATTCTGACTGACAAGATGCCCATCAGTAAGCATTCCCATTGAAGAGTAGTTGTTAGTGGTGCCCTGGCATTTTTGTTTTGATGAACATTTAGCGCTAACAATGGCCAGAGTCCACCCCTCCTAAAATCAATGTAGGTGAAAGAGTTGAGTGGTAAAGTGTGCATGTTTAAGTTCCTGCGTGCTGGCTATTTTTTTTTTTTTTTAGTACAATTACCTTTGTTCTCTACCTTTTTCACACATATAGTGGGTCAAATGGTGTTAGTGGTTCAGATGTTTTTTGTTTGTTTATATTTGCTTAGTCATTTCATTTGATCTAGGCAAAGTTTTCATTCTTTAATATCAATTTTCTAGAGCCCATATCCTTGAGTTTATTACAATTTAGAGCAAAAACAAAAGAAACATGCAAAACACCCCATAGGCTAGAGTTTCTAGGCAATAGAAAATTCCTGGGGTTCATAGACTCGGTCTGAAAACAATGGACTTTGATACCCATAGGAAATCTGGGACATTAGTTGAAAAGTCCTTGATTGACAGGATTCTCAAATTAACTGAAACCAGACTACAAAGTTAGTTGGCTTGTGACTTGTTTCAGTTGACCAGTTTCTCTCTTTTGAAGGAGTACTTGCTCATAGTCAGGAATTGTGTGGAGGTTTACCTAAGATGTATTAGGAAACATGTGCCAACATTCAAATAACATCATCATTTTATAAGAATTACAGAACAACTTTCCGTATTTTTCAATGCAAAATTTCTTCTCACTTGACCATACTGCTGCAAACTAGAGATGAGTTTGAAGTTAATTGTATAGCTTCTATATCAAAAGAATTGTTTCAGCTCATACATTAGATTTGCATTCTTCTGCCTCCTGATGAGGAATTCTATCCTAATTATGATTCATTCTGAACTATCACCAGTCTGGACTAGAATTAATATATCTCAACAATGATTTAGGAAACAAATTAGGTTTTATATCTTGAAAATCACAAGTCTCTTCTATGTCTTTACCATAAATTACCCAATATTAGTTATTAGGGCTTACATTCAAAATGTATGCATTTCAATCAATAATCTCTTCCAAAAGTCCACCACAAAAAGCAACTGTTATTTTAAAACATGTATATGTACTTGAACATTTATCTATTAGCATAAAAATAAAATAATAACACCATTGTACTCACATGGCACCGTGCGGAGGTAGAGGTTATCACGGATGATTTGTTGAAGTTCGTGGTCCACAGAACCCTTCTGAAATCGTAAGTTGAGGTAGTGACGAAGATCCTTATCAACAATTCCTCCTAAAACAATAACATTTCTTAATAAAGAACATCATAAAATATCTTAAGCATGTAATTTGATTCTGTCCTAAACATATTCATGTACATATTTAAAAGGAGTCCTGGTGTGGCACTGTAGGATAAGCACTGGACTGTAAGGTCAGTTTGAATCACAAGGTTAGTGGTTCAAATTCAACTGCCACTCCTCAGAAACCCTACAGAGTAGCTATGAGTTGAAACTGACTCAATGGCACTTAACAACAACAACCCACTTAAAATATACATTACTTAAATAGCACTATGACCCTCTAAAATGTGAGAGTAAGTAAAAAAAAACAACAAAAAAAACGTATTGATACAAAATAATAGCATTGTTTATTAAACTAAAACATGTGAAGTTATTAGTTCTTGACATAGCTTCCATCTAGGTCTATACATTTTGGAAGGGATGTTTTCATCTCTCTAACCCTTCCCCAAGAAGTCTATACTCTCCCATTTATACTATGTCAAAACTGCCATTTTTGAGGGATTCACATTGAGTTCTTTTGAAATATTGTTTGAGCCTTGGGAACAAAAAGAATTCAAAAGGGGCAAGGTCATGAAATTCTCCTAGAACAACCCTTACTACACTCAAAGAATGACCAGGTATAGTATCAGGATGGCCAAAAAATATTCCTCAGTGCAATTCTCCTGGCCCTTTTCTTACCAACGCAGGTTTCAATTTCTTTAAAACTTCTTTATAATAAGTGCCCATGATTTTCCTGTGTCCTTCCATAAAATCCATCCAGATAACCCCTGTGAGATTCAGACAACAGTCCCCAAAACATTCTGAATTGACCTCTCTGTCTTGAATTTAACAGTTCCAGCAGATCCCATTGGAAGTCACTCTTTTGATTGGATTTTTTCTTTGAAGGCACTTTAAGACTAAGACAAATATATTACTGACAGAACTCTTATGCAGGCATCCACTGATAGCAGAGACATATTTAAACATATTTTGTTTGAAATAAATATGTGTATGCATGAACTGGAACCTTAGTAGCAATACTTTTTTGCTTACCTTTGTATTTACTGACATAATAATAAAACAGATAACTTTCACAGAGATAAAGCTGTCTGCCAGTTCTGTGTTCAGTGTTTCACATGGATGTATTTATTTATTGTTTAGTATGAAGTGTGTATTATGGCAAAAGATACATGTCATGCCTGAGTCATTATTGAAGCATCATAGTCTCTCATGCCATAGTTGAAATACATTTAAACTGTTCAAAATTACTGTAGATTTATACCAATATGGGGATATAAAAAGTTAACAGAAATTACAGAAATGTTAGTGCAATTACTCTATAAAACAAATAATTTCAAAGAAATTTCCGTCTCATAAAATATACATAAATATTTTTAACTAGAGACAAATGGCAATACAATTTTCTTAAATTGCTGTTTTGACACAGTACTGAAGGCCTGGATAAAAGGCAGTCCTATTTCTCTTTTCAAAGAGTCCCCTCTTCACCAACACCCTTTATCAGGTTCTCCTATTCGTGGGTCACAATATGTTGTTGCTAGGTGCCATGGGATCAGTTCTGACTCATAGTGACTCTAGATGCAGAGAACAAAACACTGCTTTTTCCTGTGCTATATTTGAGTCCATTGTTGTACTCTCTGTGTCAGTCCATCTCATTGACCATCTTTCTCTTTGTTGTTGTTGTTGTTGAAATTCTACATTACCAAGCATGATGTCATTTTCTAGAGATGAATCACCATATAGTACGTAAGACATAGTACGTAAGACAGTCTTTCCATTCCTGCGTCTAAGTTGCATTCTGGCTGTACTTTGTCTAAGACAGATTTATTTATTCTCTGGCAGTAGTGATATATTTAACATTCTTCACCAACACCATGATTCAAAGACCTCAATTCTTCTTTGGTCTTCTTTATTCATTGTCCAGCTTTTCAATGCATATGAGATGATTGAAAATATCATGGCTTGGATCAGACACACCATAGTCTTCAAAGTGATATCTTTGCTTTTTAATACTTTGAAGAGTTCTTTTTAAGCAATTCTATCAACGCAATAGGCCATTTGAATCCCCAACTGCTGCATCCATAGGCATAGATTGAAGATCCAAGTAAAATGAAATCCTTGACAACTTCAATATTTTCTCTGGTTATCATGATATTGCTTATTGGTTCAGTTGTGAGGCTTTTGGTTTTCTTTATGGTTAGGTGTAATCCATACGAAAGGTTGTATAGTCTTTCATCTTCATTAATTAGTGGTTCTAGCATTCTTCTCTTTCATCTGCATTTATTAGGTTAATGAGTCTTCTTCCAATCTAATGCCACATTCTTCTTCACATAGTCCATTGTCTCAAATTACTTTCCTAGCATGCTGATTGCATATGTATGGTGAAAGCATACCACCCTGACACACACCTTTCCTGATTTTAAACCTTGCAGTGGCCTTCGGTTCTGTTTGTATGGTTTCTTGTTCTAAGTACAGTTCTACATGAGGACAATAATCCAATATAACTACAGACAATTCCTCTGCCCCTTTATCCTGCAAAATTATTTAAAATGCACAATTTCTAGAAAGCCTGTCCACCCTAGCCAACCCCACTTGGCTTATACATAAGTCCTCTTGTACAATTCCCACTTCTAACTAACTTGCTTCCAAGTACCCTCCCTACGTGGTTCTGTGTTAAGGTGTCCTGTGTTTCCCTGCCTCTGGGAAATGTGAGCATAATAAACCTGTTGTTTTTCATGACTTTCTTGACTCTCTTTCCCGTGATGCACCTAACTTAACATCACATAAAATTGTTAGAGAAACTAAGTTACACATAATCTAGGGATTCTTTTCTTTATCAATAGAACAATTTTGAGTCTATTTGTTATTGAAATATGATGAAAAATAAACTGGGTTATGTGTTCTTATGTGCCATTGAGTCAGTGCTGACTCATAGTGGCCCTGTATAGGGATTCCAATGAGCAACTGGTGGGTTTGAACCACCAACTTTGTGGTTAGCAGCCCAGTGCTTCTCCTACAGCACCACATTAGGATTCCACTGTGTGAAGCACCATTCCTCCCACAATCCTTTCTAGCCCTCAGTTGGGTTCAGTTATCTGTTGCAATGGCCACCCAGAACTCCGAAACTCACAGTTATGAGGTTTATTAGGCAAGTAAATAGGTTACAATAAATGACTATAAAATGCTCAGGCACATTTGTTTCAGCCAGCTGCTAATAAAGGTTTACAGGACACACTATTCCACCACAAGCCTCTGTCTGAAGACACTCAGCTTTAGTTCTGTGAGTCAGGAAACTTAGTTCCTCCACTAAGTGCCTGCAGGCACCATACTCTATAAACAAGCTTGTTGCCCCAGATCACTCAGCTTTACTTGCTCTATGGGCTAGGAAGCCTAGTGCCCTGTCTCATGCTTTGGTTTTCGGTTCTGCTGCTTCTCTACAACTCCTCCCTGACACAGCTTTATGTCCCTGGGTCAAGAAGATTCAATGTTCAGAGATCTCAGTGTCCAAATTATATACATGTATCACTCCTGGTGCTTATTCTTTGATGGTAGTGAGATTTCCCCGTTCTACTTCTGAGATGGCTAATTTTAAGCCCATGCTAAATTTTTATAATTACAATGAACTCTGTTAACATCTACAACTAAATCATGCCATCCTGTCAGCATATCATCCCATTTTCTCACCTATCAGGAAGGGTGGTTTGGTGAGGGTTACATAGACTAAAGCTATAAGAGACATCTTGAAGAATTCACTACACCCCAGGAAGAAACCCAACACTGTAGATGTATCTAGATGAATTTGATATTTAAAGCAATTTAAACTAAGACTTTTTCCCTGTACTTAGAATAATATGAGTCAAAAGACCTATTGTTGTTGTTGTTGTTAAGTGCCATTGAATCGGTTCCAACTTATATTGACCCGAAGATTGGCTGGTGAGTTTAATTGCCAATCTTGTTCAAGCCAACCTCGAGGTCAAATGTTTATCCTACTGTGCCACACCTACATAGGTATGAAAATAATTCCTGAAGCTTAATTTTTAAATCAAACATATTAGGGAACTCCAGGAAAGATAAGGAAGATATGGGGGGGGGGGTCTGTAATAGTCACAAAAATAATACTGTCTTCAACTAATTTTTAATCACAGAATTAAAATTCATATATCTATTTGTATCATAACAGTATAAAATATCATTTTGTGTTTGGATTCATGCAACACAAATATCTTTCATACAAACAACAGAATATTGAATATTGAAACATGATGAAGAACACCAGAATACTGTCAGATATAGTGCCAGAAAATGAGCCATCTGGGTTGAAAGGCATTCAAAATATGACTGGGGAAGAGTTGTCTCCTCAAAGTAGAGTTGACTGTGATAATGTGAATAGAGTAAACCTTTCATTTGCTGATGGGGCACAACTCAAAATAAGGAGAAACAGTTGTAAACATCCATTGACAATCAGAATATGGAATATATGAAGTATGAATCTAGGAAAACTGGAACTTGTCAAAAATGAAATGGGACTCATAAGCGTCAAAAGCTTTCACATTAGTGAGTTGAAATTTGACAATCATATGGTTTACTATGCCAGGTATGACAAATTGAAGAGGAATGATGTTACATTTATCATCAAAAAGAACATTTCAAGATACATCATGAAGTACAACACTGTCTGTGATAGGATAATAACCATATGCCTTGAAGAAGACTAGTTAATACAACTATCATTCAAATTTATGCACCAACCATTAAAACCAATGATGATAAAATTGAAGAATTCTACGATCTTCTTTCAGTCTGATATTGATCACACATGCAATCAAGATATATTTCTAGTTACTGGTGATTGGAATACAAAGGTGGGGAACAAAAAAGAAAAATAAGGCCTTGGTGAGAGAAATGATGCTGGAGATCGCATCATAGAATTTGCAAGACCAAAAACTTCTTCATGGAAATACATTTTTTAAACAACATAAAATATGACTATAAGATC